GGATGATTTGGTAGAAGCCTCCCCAGTCCAGTGAGTTTTTCTTTTTACTGGAACTAAAAAAAATCCAGGGTTTTTCACTGCAGGTTGTGCCTTGGGGGGATGAAAGCTTTGTCTCCTCTAACCCCAAAAATGCCCTCACCTGCCATCACTGCTGCTTGGCAGTGTGGAAATTTAGAAAATTTTATTCCCAGCAGGACCAGAAAAAAGGTTTTTTGCTAATATGGCTTTTCCCATCTTTCTCTCTACATCATTTTTTTCTATTTTTCCCAAGTCCTTTCTCTTTTTTAGTAATTTCAGCAGGTCAAGCAGAGGTTTGCTGGTCTCAGACTTTGATCAATACATTTCCCTACCAAAAATAAGCTGGTTTTTCTTCTGTTTTCAAATCAATACCCTAAAGTCTGAAAAATAGTTAAGCAAGCTCAAACCCATGGCATTTAAACAACGCTACCACAGCAGCCTTGTGTTCATGTTTACAGATAAAACTGCTGCTTGCCTTGACTTGGAGCTCAGGGGCCTTTATTTCAAATATAATTCTTTCAATAAGTTTGCACAACATTTACAAAAATTAAGATGATCCTGCTTTGTGGGTTTGGGTTTTATTTTGGTTTTTTTGGGGGGGTTTTTTTTGGGGGGTTTTTTGGGTTTGTTTGGGGTTTTTTATTATTATTGTTGTTGTGGTTTTATTTTGGTTTTTTGTTTGTTTATTTGATTTTTTTTTTAAATCTGCCTTTATATAAGCTACTTTTTTTCCCACTTTTAACTTTTTTTTCCAAGTGCAGGAAACACTTTCAAAGCCACCCCAGGGAAAGCTCTAAGCCAGAGGACATACAGCATTTTCACTTTTTCGTGCTTCAGGCTAAGATATTTTGACTGATCCATCATCTGAGCAGCAGGCAAAGCATGAATCATGTATGAAATGGCAGCTGAAATGTTAGTGCACCTTCATGTCATTAATTGCATTTTTTTAATCTTCTGTCTGTATCTCTACAGAAATTCCCCAACATAAGCACAGCTGCAAGGATAAAATTGAGAGGGTTTGGTTTGGTTGTGGCTGCTTTTGCTTTGTTGGTTCCTTTCCCTTTTGGAGGCGAATGTTTGTGGATTTTTGTTTGTTTGGGTTTCTCAGGGTACAGAAGTTGAAGAGAGACTTGCAAGGGTTTTTTTATGAGTGCTGTGCAAGGATTGCTCAAAATCTCTTCTTCTAGACAGAAAATCCGGGTAAGATCCTGGAGTACAAAGGGATTCCAATGGAATTCCACCTGCGAGCAGAATTTGGCCACTATTTTCAATTAGGAAATGCAATATTTCTTCCCTCAGAACTATTTAAATTCCTGTAAATGGATCTCAAAAGATACTCCAGCCCTGATTAAAATAAATGTAATATTTGATCTTCCTCCTTTGTGTGTGACAGGACAGAAAAATCAGGTAAGAAACTGAAGTTATGTTTCAGAATTTTGTGTGACATTCACAGTTTGTGAATATTCACAATTTGCTGTGGAATTCAGAATTTTCTCAGAGGATGTGAGCCCAGTTTGGTTTGGCTGCTTGGCAGAATTTGGGTATTTTACAACCATAACAGACCTTCATTGACATTGGACATTTCCTGCTGCATGCTGGGAACTAAACAAATGAAATTATCTCCCTGCTGGCAGTAATGCAGGTTTTTTGTCTGGAAAATCACCTGAATTCCCATATTTCTCTGATATGATGTCACTGGATGGACTCTTCCCTTTCCCTGTGACCTAATGTCTGCCACTTTCAGCTGTGGAGCTGAAATGTTCTCAGTCTTTTCTTTTGCAGTTATATTTGTCCTCTTTCTTGCCTATTGGTTTTATTAATATTAAATGTAACATAAATTCATTGCTGCTTCAGAATGCCTGAAATTGAATTTACTGTTGCAATATTAATACAATTATGAACTTCCTTCTGGAAACTCTCCACCCTAAATCCAAGTCACTTTGCATATTCTGCTGGCCATGATGCCCCCTGCTCATTTGCTATTAATACAGAAGTTTTTGTGCTTTTTCTTTACCTGGGTACTTTCCAGATAAATGTAGCCTTTTTCCTTAATGAAATTCTCAGAGTGAAGAATTTATTATTATTTTTATTCTTGCCACTAGCCTTGGGAAAGCAGAGACTTTGTGAGGAAACTCTTTCATTTTTCACGGCATGAGCACATTCCCTGACCTGCTCTCTGCTGAACTATGTTAATTTTCCTTATCAGCCTGCCATAGAAAGATAAACTGAGGTGTTTATCAAAATAAAATTTTGTGAAGGTTACATTTTCACATCCTCAGCTCCTTGACTTCATCCCTTCAGACCAAATGAAGCAATCTCTGAGTGCACAGGTTAAAGCAGAAAAGTGGCCCTTTCCCACTGCCAGAGGTTTGCAGAATAAATGGGAATTATTCCTTTGCATCCCTCTGGATCTCTGGAATTCTGTTATTCCCCCATTCTATCTTGCTATTTGTATAAATATCTCATTTTAATCGAAGCCATAAACACAGAATTTGCCTTTTCTGATTTTGATCTATTTCAAAAATATTAATTTTATTGACCCTCAGGCCTTTAGTTACCAGAATTTTTTTTTTCTCACTCCACTTGATTTCCTTGATAAGAATTAAAATACTTTCTGTTTCTGTAGAAGATAAATTTTCCTTTAAAAAAATACTAAGAGGCTGAATTACTTGTTAAACCAGAAGGTACTCTATCAATCAAACATATTAAAACTGATTAAAACAAGCTTGAGGGGAAAAAGAAAATAAGAATCAAACCTATGATTTTTGAAAATTTAGCCTCCTATTTTGAATTATATCAGAGAATGAATAAATATAGTGACTTTCTAGGACTTTGATAAAAATGCAGCTCAGTACTTTTAAAAGGCATTCAGCCCATGGTTCAGATAAGCAAAAAGCAAAGGAGATTGGAATTACAAATCAATGATTTTTTCACTCTCAGGAATTGAATAGTTTATCAATTCCCCTTAAACACACCTAAAATCACATCTGCAATCTGATTTTTACTTTCTAACTCCTATTTAAGAGCATTCACCATAATTATTTTGGAAAACCATTATGATGAGTCCAAATGCAGAATTTTTCCAGAAAAATATTTCAATTTGTGATTTTAAGAGGAAAAAATAAATTCTGTACTTTCATTTGCTGTTTTTATCCTCAAATCATATTTATAAAGGTTAGGGAGTATATTGTCTTTTCTTTAATTATCAAATGATTAATTTGTCCAAGTAGTCTGCAATATTTCCAGCCCAAAGTAACAAACTCACAGTTTGTTGAGCAGCCAAGGCAGTTGCAGATGCAATTTTTTTTTTTTTTCAGAGTAGCTCTCAGCCATTTAAAAACTCAATAGTTGAGCTGAACTTCTATTGTAATTCCATCACAGTTATTTAGCTAAAAGAAGCAATTCCAGAATTTTCAGACAGGCCCATGATAGCAATGCATAATCCTTAAAATTGTGACACTGATATTACTTTAGACCTTTTTATGGCAAGATTAAAAGGGCTTTAATACCTTTCTCTCACAAAGTGGTGTGGAAATACTGCCTGCTCTGCTTCCTGAAATAGCTGCTCGGGCTTGCAATCATTTAAAAATATTATCTGGGGAGTTTTCAGGGCACAAAAGTTAAAAGATAAATTGTGCTGCTCCTCCAAATGTTAGGATATGCATGCTAATCTGACATTTCTGAGACGGAATAAAAACCTCCTGCAGTAGGAGAGAGGCCGCTGGACAATGGGCGCTCATTAAGGAAACACCAGCCTGTGATTAACAACTGCAGATACCTGCAAGATCTTTAGAATTCAAATTTTGTTTGAGAATCAGGAGAAATATTTGAGGATCCATTCACGTTCATGTGTAATGATCCTCACATAGAAAGTCACAGCAGTGCACACCTTTCAAATAATTCCATTATTGTCATTATTTTTAATTTCCTCTGTTTATTCTTCTCAAGAACTGCAGGGTGATCACCTGATATTGAAGGAAAGGAAGGAATTACAGGATTTTTTGTTTCTGCTTCTTGAGTTGTGTCAGGACAGCCAGGACAGTGTTCAGCTCTTGATGGAAATGTTCGTAATAGCAACTGAAGTTGGTACCTTGTATTTCTCTGTGCAATATTGCAAAACGGAACTGATCAATGTTTTATTTTCACATCAGGACCCATTCTTCACCTCCGGGATTTTGAGAAAATCCTCCAGTCCCTGTTGGGATGTGGATTTGTTTCTGTTTTAACAGGTACAAACTCCAGGTGGGTTTCAGTGCAGAATGTGAAACTCCAGCAAGAGCAAGAAAACGCTGAGCGCTCCACAAGCAGAGAAGAAGACGCACAGATGTGAAGTGCACAGAGATTCCAACCCTTGTGTTTGCCCACAGAACATTGAGGACTTTGGGTTTCTTCATGAAAGGATTGTGGGTTTTGGGTTTCTTCACGGGTGTGGGAATCAGGAATGTTGTACAACTTTTGTTAGATGACAGCTTAAGTGAAATATGAGGTGTGGTCCAACGTGTGCCTGACAGATGGTTGATAAAGTTATCAATGCAATTAGTGCTCATAAAAAAAAATAAAAAATGCCAAACCTGTGTAAGGAGAGGGAGCCCTGCAGAGCCCCAGGAGCTCAGGTGAGATGGAGAAGCACCGGAGAGCACAGCCCTGGGTCCTGCTGGCCCTGGGTCCTGCTGGCCCTGGGTCCTGCTGGCCCTGGTCCTGCTGGCCCTGTCTCTGCTTCTGGCTCTCCCCAGCTCTCTGCCAGCTCCGGGTCTGTACTGAAACCAATTTATCCTCCTTGGGCACTCCGGAGAGAGGGACGGAACCCTGCAGCTCTCCCTGCACGGGCTGTCAAGGACTCGTTTGACCCATGAGCTGTTTCAATGCCAGTCTAAATTATATCCTCAAAGTGTGATTTCAGAAAGGTTTTTTCTCATTCTTTTTTTTTTCTCTTTTTTTCCCCATTTCTTTAACTTTTTTTCAGCCTGTGGATGGGACTGCAGGAGCAGGATGCGGCGCTCACAGCCGGCAGGAGCAGGGACTCCTCCAGGGCAGGAATTCAGAGCTGTTGGGTCGCTTTCTGCGGAGTCTCACCCCATTCGCTCCCAGCTGATAACTCAGCAGGATGCTGAAGTTTAACCTGATTTCCAGCCACCAAATCAACGTTTGAATGCAAGCCTGACTTGAACAGACAGAAGATAATTGCGTTTAATAAGCACGTGTGAAATGAGATGTTGGAGGCTCTGTGGTGAGAACACAAACAGACCCTTGAGAGAACAATGGCAGAATTGAGCGATAACTGCACCCTCCCATCCGCAGCTCTGCCACTCATCTCTGCAGAGGAAAGGTAAGCCCAAATTAACCGGAGCTTTTTAAAAAGCTTGGATCAGTCTGATTAATCTTTTCTCTTCTCTGGTTTTTAAGCATGACAAGAAAATGCATCAGCTCTGCTGTCAGAAAACACTGTCAATGAAATTTCCAGTGTTGTTGCTCTTGTTTACCAAAGAACTTTTTCCTTTTTGCATTTTAGGTATTTAATAGCCTAAAATACTTCCCCAGTGAAGCATACACAGATTAATATTTCATTACAAGAACTTTATTACATCACATTTTATCTTTTTTAGAAAACCCTAAGACAAAGGATGCTGATTTTCTCTCATTCTCTAAAAACGAAAGAGGAATTGGGGCTCTCTAACCCACCTGGGAACAAAGGTCTGCTTAGCTTCGAGGCCAGTAGCAAGTATGAGGAGAAATAAATTTATTTGTAATGGAGTGATGCTCCACCATCTTCTAACCAAAGGAAGAGCTCTGTTTCACTGTATTGTAGATTTAATTTTTTTTTACTTGTTCCTCTAATCTGTGCTAAAACTTCTCCTTGTATTAACATTCCCGAGTCTGGGAGCAACAGGTTTCATTGCTAAAGTTTGTGTTTTATTGAGGGCTGGGTGCCAAATGAAGAATGATCAATTTTTGTCACTCCCTGTTGATGGGGCCCATGCCACTCATGGCTTACAGGCTTTGATAAAAACCTGCTGGATTTTGTGCCCACCAGAAATTAAAACCTCTCAGATTTATCTGTAAGGAAATAACTCCACACATTTTTACTTTTCTGTGCTGCTGTTGCTTGTTCTGTTTCACTATTTTGCTTTTCCTATATGAATAGCCTGTAACGCACAAAGGATTGAAAAGCACAGAATGGATTTCTGTCCTCAAACAAGGATGTTTTCGATTTGTTCTCTCTCCATTTTCTAAAAATTCAATTGCTTTCTGTTTGCCTTTGAGCTGATGTTTTTGTAGAATTCTCTATCATAATTCCAGCAACATATTTCTGTGCAGCTTGGTCAGAGCCCAACATTGTAAATGCAAATTAAGATTTTTTTTTTCCCCTCATTGTGCATTGTTTTTATGTCTATCAACATCACATTTTAGCTGACATTTTATTGCCACTTTCTCAAACTTGCAATAAAATCTCATTTTATTAACATCATTAGATGAGAAACAGAAAACTTGGTAACTCAGTAAAGTTTTATTTCTATTTTTTTCTGCATACAGGACCCAGTACAAACCTCTTCCATGGTAAAAGTTAACCTGGACCCGCAAACAACTTCATTTAGAAACCTTTAGCAAGGTTTTCAAAGTCCTTTTATTCATCACAAAATCTTTCTTCTTCTCTGGTCATCTGATCTGGCCTTTCCTAATTTCTTGTCTCCTTCTCTCAGCCAAATCTGCTTATTTGGCACCAGTTCTATGTCAGCAAGTTTGCAAAAATACTTGAGTGTCAATGTGCTAATCCTGAATGTGTAAATGCAGTGCAGGATGTAGCACCAAATAATTCAGGAACTGCCCCCTGCCAAATGCACCGCTGCAAAAAACCTAAAAAAACCCCAAATAACCTGAAAAAAAAATCTAATATAAGTAGCTTTGTTTGCTTAGGAAGAGTATGTTTTGCAAACAAGAACAGTCCAAAAATAATTGTAGAAAAATAAGAATAACAATATTTAGGTTAGCATTTACCATAAATGAACAGGAGCAAATTATCATTGAAAAGCCTTGGAAAATATCTCCTGAAAATGTGCTGTGGTGGTTTTGTACAGAAAGTTCTGTAGAATATCCTTTATTCCTGAGCCAAGGGGAAGAATTACTGAGAAAGATTTCTCCAAGAGTTTGTGTGCCTTTCCATATGCCACAGTTTAACAGACACTAGCGGGTCTGTTTGTATCATCATTTTTTTGTCTTTAAAAAAAAAAAAAAAAAATTGCTCTTTGCTAGTTTTCATATGTTCCCTAAAGATTTTCATCTTGCAAATAAAAGAGCTTAATTATTTCCATAATGGAAGGATTAGTGTTCCCATGAGCAGATTCTTTCTGTTTAAAAGTCATTGTAGGTGTAATAAAACTCAAGCAGTTCATGACCAATGCAGCTGCTTCACAAATTACTGGAGTTCAAAAAATAAGAGAATAATTGAAAAAAAAAAAAAACACCCAACCAAACAACAAGAGAAAAGAGATTTTTAAAAGAGAGGATTAAAAATAAAACTCAACAAGCCTAGTGCCATCAGGTCAAACTAGTGGAGAAAAGTGTAATACAATAGCTGGCACCTAAATAAGCCTTAATGTTCCTGTGGATTTTCACAGGAGGGTTTGGGGATGTTACATAAGAGCTGCCAGGAGAGTTCCCGTGGACTGAATGCCTTTATATTGCATTATATTTATATCCATTTTATATTTATTACATATTGACCCATGGGTTTGGGATTCTGTGCAACCACTGAGTGCAGCCAGCACAGGTTTTGCCTTCTGCATGGACCAGGGCAGGAATCAGCTCGTGTGTTGGGACATTCCATTTTAGCCCATGGAAAAAAAATTACCAACCTTGTGTGAGGATTTACAAGCCATAAGGGTTTGAGTAGGATGATAGTGAATTTGTCACAGGGTGAAAAAGCAGAATTTTGGGGTTTTTAGAATGGGGGTTCAAGAGGCAAGATGGAGGAATCTGGGCATGTCCTGTCCTTCTTCTTTCTCCCTCCTAGCCTCCAGGGTCTCAGTGATGGTGGCACTTTTGGGTTGGTTTAGAGTAGAGACAGACTGTCTGACATAGGTGATAGGTATTGGAAAATTATTGTCAATAAAGTACAGGTAGTTTTTAGTAAAAAACCTAACACCACCCCAAGAGCAGGGACTGTGCCCCAAACTGACCTGATAGACAGACCTCAGCAGGTCAGAGAAAGAATGGAATAAATAAGAGAAAATAAACAACCTTAAGAAGCAGAACTGATGAATCTTGACTTCTTCTTCAGTTGTGGGGCTGGGAAAAAAAGAGACTTTTAATACTTGGGGGTTATCTCAAGCACAGAAACCCAAAGTTACCCAAAGAATGTGGCACCAAAGCAGAGCAGCAGCTCTGGCTGTCCCCAAGCTTTGTTTGTGCTGGTTCTAAAGGAGAAGCCTGATGGATCCAAGGAGTTTCCCAGATCCAAGGAGGTTCCCAGAGCTGCCCTGAGCAGCAGGGCTGGTGGCACAGGTGAGCTTGGCTCCCTCCCATCCCTGCCTGCCTGCAGAGCTCTCTGCTGCACCAACAGAGCACTGGGTGTGGGACTGCAGAGCTTCCCTCTCCTGCCCTTTATTGCTTTCCAGTCCCTCTCTGCTGATGCAGAGGTCTCTTTATGGCTGGGAGACTCTCACAGCTCTAAACTGCTCCTGTGTTTTCTGGGGACTTCACAAGTTCCCAGAGCAATTTAAACTCGGCGTGGTAAAGCAGGCCTTAAAAGTTCCCTTCCTTTTTCTCACCTTTTAGGAAGTGGCATCAAACTGTCCTTTCAAAATGAGTCTGCGTTTATGATTCAGCGCTGTGCAGCAGCCCCAGGGCCAGCCCAGGTAAGCTGCTATAAATCATTCAAAGCAGGGAGATAATAACACTCCTAGTTAAGATCCAGGTTTATATTATGTATGTTTATAAAACAGAAATAGGCGTCTCTGACTGAGTACCAACATCCCAGCCTATTCTGGGAAGTCTTTTCTGTGACTTATGTAGTCTTTGATCAGTTTTTACCAGTGTTCAGTGAACAACTTCATGTTTACTTATCTGAGGATTTTTTAAAGTATTTATAATTAAAGGAAATCTAGTATGTTGTAGCAATAGATTAGTGTCCTTTGTGGAGACACTACTTTAAAAAGCTGAATATTATCTTATGAAACTATAAAGAGGTGGTTTATGTTATAACTTGTCCAATTTAACAGATACAAAAAGATGCAGTTGTGCCATCCGTTCCGCCTGTCCCTCTCTTTCCTCTATTACATTATATTTATCACTCATGCAAAATATGAAGTAGAAACAACTGGAAACTGATTTTAGAATTCCCCCCAAGCAGTGGTTTTCCATCAGCTGAGTGAGCTGAACTGGTTTAATCTCTCCCGCTGAATGTGATGCACTGCAGGCGTCAGGGGAAAAGGGAAATCGTGTCTGCCCATGGAAGTTTCCAGTTACCTGAGTTTGCACACACTGGGCAATCATGCTCTGAGTCCCCGGCTGCCAGCAGGCCCTGATTCCCGCTCAGTGTGTGTTTTGGACTACTCTCTTCAAGAGGTGGAGTGCAATTAGAGCATCTTAGCTGGGTCTCTGCGTGGCCACGTTCCACCTCTCCAGAAACCCTGGTGGTGCCCTGAGCCTTTGTGAAGTATTAGTGCTGGCATTAGGAGCAGTTCCTGATTTATTATTGTGTGTCACTTTAATTAACATGCTGTTTCACTCCCCCTTCCAGGCTGTTAATGAAGATGTTAAATAAACAGGACCAAACAGTGATCCCTGCAGAGCTGCACCAGACACCTCCCACCAGCTTGATGCATTGCCATTTTTCATTACCCTTTATTTGCACTCAGCCAGCCATTTTTAAATCCAAGTGACAGTCCTCCATGTCCAAGCCAATTTGAATTAATTTTGCGAGCAGAGATTTTGTAAGACACTACATCAAGTGTTTTACTCAGACCAGATATATTACACATGCTTTCATCCACTAATTTTCTAAAGCTATCAGAAAAAGCAATCAAGCTTTGAAGATTACTAGCACCCAGCCAGCTTTTTGCTGGTTTATTCACTTACAAAACCAATCTTGGCATTATTAAAGATTTGCCACTCCTTCAGCTGATGAGTGATTTAAAACAATGCATCTTTCTAATCCATTACCTTCCCAAAATAACACAGAGCCCTGATTATTCCTCCTAAGTGCTATTTTAGGGCTGGGTGGTGTGTGAGTTTAAATTGTGATTGGCAGACAGATATTTTTCTTGAAAAGGATCCGTGATTTCAGCAGCTTAGCTTATGTTTATTTTACATGCTTCCAGCTGTTAGCTTGTATCAGCAGTTATTCCTTATTCCCAGTATGGAAGCAAGCAGGTCCTGTGGCACCTCTTTAATTATATCAGGGAAGGAACATCAGACTGGCAGCACAGGTAAAAAATACAGTCTGGCAGGATTAGTCCTCACAAAACCAGATTTATTTCTTACAGCAGAGGAACATGCCAGTCAAAATAAACTTTCTCTCCTTATTTAATATATCCCTTCCCTCTATGTTTTATTGCCTGCTCATGCTATAAATTGTTATACTTAAGACTTCTAGTCAGAATTTGGGGTTTTTTTTTCCTCTTTTGGCTTGTTCATTCCTTATTCTTCTGTCTGCCTGAAGCTGGAACCATTTATTCAGCACCTGTTCCCTTCCTGTGGTTGTGAAGGGCTGTGTTTGTTTTCCAGATGTGGTTTGGGGCACAGAGAAATGTGGTGCCTGCAAGTTTCTGCAGACTCTTCACTAAAAATGGGAAGGTTTCAGGTATTTTTCCCTCCTACTAAACTGTTTTTTTTACAGCTGCCCCCACTGAAACAATTTCTCTTTTTCTGCCAGTGTCATTCAAATACAGTTCTTGGTTATTCCCTTACCTGGGGCTCAGCTCTGCCTCTGCTTTGTCGATGGTGTTTTTACTGAAACGAGTCCAAAAAGTTTCCTGCTACATTTCTCTAAATTTTTCATGCTGTTAAGTCAGCTTGTTCAGGGTAAAAATTTTCAAACTGGAATGTCACCCTCACAAAAATGCTGAGTGTTTTGCTGACTTCTGTGAGTTTAGGGGATCCTACAATGGATGTTGAATTGTTTATTGAATGTGGTTTTTCTTTATTTCTTCACTCAATTTTATTTATCAAAATGAATGGTCTCTTGCTTGAAGTCTTTCAGCTCCTAGTGGAGTGACTCCATCAGAATACCCAGTGCTGAACTCCTTTGCATGTGTGCATGAAGGCAGAAAGCACATTGATTTTCCTCCCAAGGATAAGGGAAACAAAGGTCAGAGCTGCTCACACTCTAATTTATGCAAGATTAATGCAGAGAATACAGCAGAGTTCACTTAATGAAGGTGAAACATGCAGATGAGTGAAGAAGTATCAGTTTCAGTTTTGATTGCCCAGCTGAAAGAATATAAAATAATACAATAATGTAAAATATCTTTAAAAAGAATTCCTGATTTAGAGGTAAGCAGTAGTGTGCAATCCTGTTTTGAGCTGGAAACAGGGAGCTCAGGCCTCGTTTCCCTCTGCTCAGCCTTTGGAATATCCTGCATTTTCTGCTTCCACATTGTGGAAAGCTGGGCACCGTTCTGTCATTGGTGAGGCTGCACTGGTGGGACGAGGCTGTCTCACAGAAATATTCCTGTGCTAATGCTCTCGTGGCTGCTGGAGCAAATCCAGAGGTTTGTGTTAATCAGCGTCTGCAGTCCTTAAAAAGAAAAAAATTGCTGATGAGCTCAGAATGATAAGAAATGTCTGGCGTCTGCAGCAAAGTGCCTGGAGTGAGGAGTCTTCTCTCCACGGATTGACCTTCTGGAGCTTCAATTGTGCATTTGCACTCACACCCAGCAGTGCTCTGCAGCTCAGGATTGTGTTGTCAGCTGCCTTTAACTCTCCCTTTTGGTCTCTCTTTGCTTGCAGAGCTTTTCCTTAGCACAGTGACAGGGACACAGAGCAGACAAGTCAAAGCACAGGGAGAAAAAAGAACTTTGGTGTTACTGCAGCAGGAAAAAGCCACTGCCAGTGTCTGTGTGGAGCACTCCCATTTGTACAGTCTGCTGTTGAAAATGAAGCTCTGCTCTTTGGGAGGGATTTATTGTCCCTAAATGGACAGGTATGGATTTACTGTGGCTTTGAGAGGCTAAAATGAGTTTTGCTGCTGTGCATTCCCAGGTGTGGCTCTGTGTCTCCTCTTGCTTGGTGACCTGCCCCAAATCCAGGTCCTGTTCCGTCACCTCCTCCTGAGCCTCTCCCGTTATTATTGATGGGCAACAAGCACACAAAAGTTCAGCCGTAATTTCTCTCCTTAAAACCGGAATGGAGGCTTTGGAAACAGCTTCATTTTCAGCAATGTGCTGCAACTTGCACTCCAAGCAGAAATAAAAACGCCCATTTCACTCTGTAACTGACTTTAATCTCCAAATTTGGCACGCTAGCTCCTCAGAGGTTAACTGAATTTTCAGCCCACCAAACAGAAGTCCTTAAAATGTTTACTGGAGTTCTGCTCAGATTTTCTCATGTTTCATGGATTTTCTGAACTAGTTCAGCCCGATGTCAAGTTTTAAACAGCTGCCAGGCATCTGAGAGACAGAAAACTCCTGAACATGCAGCAGGAGCTCTGCATTCATCAGGATCTGGTGAGTTTCAAAGACCGTTCACAGACACCCGCTGAATGTTGTTTTTGGAAGTTTCTAGACAATATTTTGTTGAAAAAAACCCCAATCCACTCTGAAAAAAAATGATGAACTCTGCCTCCCTTTTTAAATGCAAACATCACAGCTATTCTTCTGTGCTCTCTCCTCATCTGCAGTCAGTGCAAACCAGGGGTCAAGGCAGGGCCTTGTGTGCTGAGTGTGAAGGGAGGAAATAAAGCTCCATTGGCACCAGGTTCGTGTTCTCCCTCCAAAGCTCTGCCAGGTGCTCCCGAGGCCTTTGTCTGAATTCCTGGAGTTACGCTGATAAATTGGGAGGAAGAAATGTCATTCACAGCTTTATTAAACATCTGTAACTCCTATTACTTAATTAAAACCCAGCCTGATGGAAGCCCGGATTGCATCTGCCTGATAAGAGATATTCCACTGTTCTCTTATCATGGAAACTGTTGTGTTTGACTGAGTTTTCCCTCTATTTCCGAAATCAAATGTTGAATTAATGAGCTTCTTCCTCCCCTCCGATTTCCAAAAGCAAAGAAAAGAACAACATTCATGTTGGCAAGAATTTCCTGCAGTACTAAAATCTATTTCTGCTGCGCTGGCTTTTCTGTATTTTTTGTGCTTCTCTTTTGTTTCTAACAGAACTGGTTGCTTCCCCAAAATCTTATGAGAACTTTTAGACTGCAATCAATTTCCAGTGTCTTTATGAAAGCAAAGCTCTGTCATTATGTTCCCAGAGGGATGTACCAGTAAACCTGAATCTGGGGAATAAAATTGGAGGATTACTGTTTCTTGTCATGTATTTCAGTTTTATGGTGTTGAGTACACTGGAATGGCTTAGTAGGGACAAAAAACAACAGCAGGGAAGGGAAATAGCTATTAATGTCCTATCAGAGCTTGATAGGGCTTGATAGAATTTAAAAAAACCCCAAACTTGTGATATCTTCAGCAATTGTAATTTCAATTACTTGCTAGCTAAAGGCAACTTTCACTGCTCCAAGTTAGGAAATCATGTAAATAGACTAATTAATATAATTTGCCTTGTGCTCCACTAAGAGAACAAAACCAAATATTTCATTTTCTAAGAGGAAACAAAAAAACAAACCCCGTGTAAACTAAATATTATAAATATGCAGTCCATCTGTAAAGCAAACATTGCATTTTTCCTGTCATCCCCAGCATTTCTGAGGAATTCAGCAGCGTTCCCTGGGATGGTGGTGCCTTGCTTTGGCTCTCCAGCTGCTCCCCAGTGGATGGAAATGCTCCTGTGTGAGGATGAGAGGCAGCGCTCCCAGAACACTGAGGAACAACAGGGGGCTGCACACAGAAAGGAGATTTCATCATCTTCCATCTGCAGCCCTTTAATATCAAGAGACTTCCACAAAACTTGAAATGAGTCTTTGAAATGTTCCGTGCTGTGGAGGTAGAAAGGTACAATAAATAATATTTCTCTTTTTCCTCGTGTGGAATGGAGAGATAAAGCTATTTATAAAGCTGTGAAGACTTACAAATCATTCTAACAGGTTGTCATATGTTAATGTCAGCGAGAATTTAATCACCCAAAGTAAAAAATCTATATTTTTTTTCTCCAATCCTATCTTGTTTTCATAAGTCTCTCTATTGACAGATTCTCTTGTGATGATAGATTAAAGGAATGCCCAAGACCACAAAAATGTAAAATCAGAAAAAGTGCAGGGAGTGACCCAGTGGGTTGTTTTTAAACTGCGTGGCAGTTTTATTTTTTTGTTCTTGTAGCATTTACAGGATCTAATGAGGAGTCATTGTGCTCAGCACTGTGCACCTGCTGAACAAGGGAATAAAGAGCTAATGAATGGATGGACTGTGGAGATCCAGATTTATGCAACAAGCAGCAAGGCTTTCTGTGCAAACTCTTTGTGGAGTTGTTGGTTCAGGAATAAACAACCTTGCTTAGGAGCAGAACAGTTTTACTCATCAATTTATTAATAAAGATTTTTATGACAGCTGCTTGCCCAAAAAGCTGTTCAGTGACGGGTTTAATTTGCCATCTGGGACTGGAGTGCCCTGAATTCTTTGGCTTTTAGCCACTTTCACTCCTGTTAAAAGGAGACACATCCCTGGGCTTTCCAGGTGATCCCATGGTGAGTTTGACTTTATCCTCTGAACCAAAGAGGAGTTTTATTTTAGAGAGAAATGAAGACATGCATGATGTTAGATCTGTGAATTTATGATTTTGTATCTAGCTCTCAGCAAATCCAGTGCTGGTGAGGTTCTTGTCCAGAGGAGGTTTGGACATCCAGCATTCCTTGGTGGCCTTTGTCCTTTATCCTGAGCTCAAATTGAAGTGGGGAAGGCTCAGCCCAAGCTTGCTGTGCTGTTATGGTGAGTATTAGAAAAAATTAACCTTAAAACCCCCCCTGTTCTCTCCTTCCAAATAATGTGATGCTGCTGATGGATCTGATGGCTTTGGCTCTTTCCTTCACTGCATATGAGCTGTACACAGAGCTGAAATGTGCAATTTGACCCCCTGTATTTCCCTTGGGGTCAGTGAGAGGGTGCAGAGCCCTGTCCTGGGTGGTGGAACACGGGTGAGGTGTCCCAGGTGGGGGAACACAGGTGAGGTGTCCCAGTGATGGAACACAGGTGAGGTGTCCCAGGTGGGGGAACACAGGTGAGGTGACCCAGGTGATGGAACACTGGAACACAGGTGAGGTGTCCCCGTGATGGAACACAGGTGAGGTGTCCCAGGTGGTGGAACCATAGGTGAGGTGTCCCAGTGATGGAACGCAGGTGAGATGTCCCAGGTGATGGAACACTGGAACACAGGTGAGGTGTCCCAGGTGATGGAACACAGGTGAGGTGACCCAGGTGATGGAACACAGGTGAGGTGACCCAGGTGATGGAACACTGGAACACAGGTGAGGTGTCCCCGTGATGGAACACAGGTGAGGTGTCCCAGGTGGGGGAACACAGGTGAGGGGTCCCAGGTGATGGAACACAGGTGAGGTGTCCCAGGTGGGAGCAGGGCCTGCAAAGTTCCCTTCCCACCCCAGAGGTGCCTGGTGCAGCTGGAAATGGAGAGAACAAAAGTTCAAACACGTAAACAGCACCGTGGGGCTGAGCCCTGGTGTTTGTGCTGGGGACATCCATCTCTCCCTGGGGTTTTAGGACGGGGTTCTCATTTCCCTCTCCCTGCTTTTCACAATGCAGGGTTTATTTCCAGGCCCTTCTAAATGAGGAGTTCTGCCTATTAGAAACACAGATTTATATTGCTGGGCTCCCTGATGAAGGGCTGGCTGGCTGATGGGGTGGGGTTGGGGCTGTGGTACAGTGCAGGCTGTAATAGGAAATCAAATAGTTCATTTCACAGCCATCAAGTGCATGCTGAGCTGCCTGACTGCTTTATGCTGCTTTATCTTTGAGGACATAAAACCTATTCTTACTTTATGAAAACATACTTTGTGTTGGATAATCATTTCATTTACATATAAAGGTTACACTTAATAAAAATATATGAACCAAAATTGCAACAAAGATACAACATCATAAACCACCTTTTTTAAAGTCTGCTGCTTTTTCCCCTTGAAAGGCTTCATTGCCTTTAAGACAGGAGATATTGCTTCAGAACTAAAGATTTAAAGCTTTTTTCTTCTGCCTGTAGTAAAAGTAATAAAGCTTTTTATTGTACAAAGACTGTAAATATATTTAGCAATAATTTCAACAGCTGGAAGTGTCTAGATGTCTGTAGTGGAAATACAAGGATCATATTTACCTAGACTTGGCCTTGAAATTTCTATAACCCTTTTCTTTCCACCTAAGCAGCACCGAACAGTTATTGGCTGTTATCTTGTAAACACTGCAAGACAATCTCGTGGAGAAAATGACTCTGTGCAGTCTGGGATCAGATCCTGCTGGAGCAGCAGTGCTGGGAGTGTTTTCTGTTCTCGTTGTTTGTGACAAGTGTTTCCTGCTGAGAGGAACCAGCCCTGCAGGTTGGAGCCTGGCGCCCATCCCCAGAGCTCCAGGAGCTGTTCAGGGATGTTCTTTAGGGAATCCATGGCCAAAATAATCATAGAGAATGTGAGAATAATGGTTTTTATCATTGCTTGTGTTGTTCTTAATGCAGGAGGAGCTGGGGTTTGCTGCAGTGGCAGATTTAGGGGCAGGTGAAGCTCATTGCCTTTGGAATTACAGAAAGTTGAGAAGGTCTGGAGCCTGGCACCCACCCCCAGAGCTCCAGGAGCTGTTCAGGGATGTTCTTTAGGGAATCCATGGCAAAAATAATAACAGAGAACATGAGAATAATTGTTTTTGTAGCTGCTGATGTTGTCCTTAATGCAGGAGGTGCTGGGGTTTGGTGCAGTGGCAGATTCAGGGGCAGGTGAAGCTCATTGCCTTTGGAATTACAGAAAGCTGTGAAGCAAACTTCAGTTTTCATTGCTGCCAACATCTCGTTGCCGTTCTCAGTAAATATCTCAGCCCTGCCAGTGTTTCATCCCTACATCAGGATTAATGCATTTCCATTCCTGCAGTTTCCTATTGTACTCCTGTTGACCCAGGAATACAAACACACTTTCAGCTCCTGAACCTTATTATCCTCTGAGGAACGTGTGCAGGGAGACAGAGGTGCTCTGCAAGCAGTGAGCAGCCTCTTCCAACTCCATTTATAAAATAAAATAATTATAATTGTTCTAACTCTGTGTGGAGGGAAGTACAACCAATTATTGCTCAGCTCTAATTACAAAATAGAAACAAAATACAGGCACAGACTCATTCCTTGGGGGGGAACAGTGATCAGTAAGTTTGATGAGTGTGGTCAGAATATCTGTTGAAATTTCCTTGAAGGGTAAATACTTGCAGAGTTTCCAGGAAAAAAGGGAAAATACTCCAAAATATTAGTTATCTCCACAGAAATTTTTCTTTTTGGGGTTTTTCAGAGGTGCACCTAGGCCTTTCAGCCATTCAGGTTTTTCTGGACATGGTCTCCTACCCTGGCATGTCGAATGTGGATGTGACCTGCTGTAAAATGTTAATTTATTCTCCTATTGAATGGTTCTGATGACCTTTTGGTAGAGGTTTCTCTTCTTCTCAGCTGCCCTCTGCTCTGCCTTTTGCGCTCTGAAATTGAGGAGACCACACTGAACCGGAGAAACTTTGATTAACAGAACAAACATTTCACTCAGGAAATTTTAAATTTTGACTTGTAATACTTCACACTTCAAAACAGCATGAAAAAATCATATCTTTATGTCTCAAAAGGGTTTGAGAAAGTACTGAAACATCCAGTTTTTGACAGCATCTTGCCAGCTACTTGAATTTGAAACATGAGAAAAGTCTCTGGAGCATACAGGAAGAGTGATGACAGTCAGAAGGAAATGGATTGTGTATTGTTGAAAAACAAGACCTATCCAAACATGCAAGAGAAATGGAAGGTATCAAATCAAGACAAATGTTATTGTGCTGATAATAAGTTGGTTAAGACAGTAAAGTTTTCTAATAAGGCTGGAGGAGGAGACTTCTTTCTGATGGATGGGAGGACCACCAAAATGGAGAAAAAAATCTGTAAAGTAATGCATCTCTCAGTTTCTAACAAAAGCTGCTTTAAAAATTATTAATGAAACAGATTTGAGTAACTTTTAAACATAATATCTTGGTATTAGTGCTAAATTTTGCTGCAATAGGCAGCAAACCCTGCACACCATGAATTTCTAAGTTGAAATGTTTAATGGTGCACTTTAGTGGAAAGTAGAGGAGCATTTTTAAAAGTAGACATCAGTAGTGATTGGAAATGTCAATTAACATGGTGTAAACAAGCATGAGCTCGTGTATTTCTGTGAAATGGAATCAAACTGTCTCGCCAGTGGGTAAAGTTCTTTTCTTTGCCACTGAAAGGGAGCAGTTCCATGGCTACAGACCTGCAGGTGATCGATTATACAGGCTATCAGATATAGATTATTGCATTATCAAATTAATTCTTAAATCTGGGACAGGATTTACTGAATTTGATTGTAGGAAACACTCACTTGACAAGACCATTTTTCTGGGATCCTTTGGGGATGGCAACTGAATTTTGGGTTGGTAAAACACAAATCACATGTTCAGCTGATAGAAATTGACAGTGATTTTAATACAATTCCACCTGGTTTACCAAGATGTTATGCTTTGGGTCTAAAATGCATTAGTAAGCCTGATTTCCACCTGGCTTTTCTTAAAATAATAGTAATAATAATAGTAGTAATAATAATAGTAGTAATAATAATAGTAGTAGTAATAATAATAATAATAATAATAATAATAATAATAGTAGTAGCTAATGTATTAATATTGTTATAATAATATATGATTATTAATAATATTGTATAATAGTCTTATACAGTAACAGATTTAAGTCTCCTATTTGGGTAATAAGATAAGTAAAGATACTATCCTCTACAAAAATAGGCCTCTATTGATGAACTATTGATGAAATATAAAGTATCTGCACAGGAAGATTTGTTTTCTAAGCAGAGACAGGAGGTTGTCCCAGTACAGAAGCCACAAGGGTTTGGGCTCCACCTCTTGCAGGGAATAAAAGTGTGACACTGCTAAAAAGTGTGACACTGCCCAACCACAGCCACCTCACAGGACCAGTGGACTGGGAAGGGAATGAATTTAAATATAAATTTAAATATAAATTTTAAATAAAATTACAAAAAGGTGCTGCAATCCCCTGTGGAGGAGTTCAATGTGATGGGGCTTTATTTATAAGTGTGGCTACTTGGATGCACACTGTTGAAACTGCATAATTTTGTACTTTCTTTAATGCTTTTAATTCTCCCCTCATAAAACCAAATTTAAGTTGCACAGTGTAGCAGTTGAGGAGAAACTGACACTGAATAATGGTGATTTTGGTTCTGAAATGAGCTAAATCCTCCTTGTTCCCACCCCAGGATGAGATGGATGAACATTCCTGGCTGTGTTTCCTGCAGACCTTGCTCTCCCCTGCACCTTCGTGGCACAGACAAATCTTCAGCTCACAGAATGGGGACAATTAGAAGGGAAGAAGTTTTTATGGTTTGACTCAGAGACTTTCATTGTGGTTTATTGGAGAGTTAGAAGCATCAGCCTCTCAGAAGTTAATGACCTGCCTGAAATAATGGGGATTTTAGAAGATGGAATGTTACTAAATTAATAAATATAATAAATATTAACTATTTCACTGCAAGTATATGGTCTATCTGAAAATAAAGCTGAGAACAATGCTGGGTTTTCACTTCAGAAGTGATGATTTCATATACAACTACAACATTTTTTATTTATGATGTTGATATTCAGAACAGAGCTGTGGATTATATTCATCATGCCCATCTGGGCTGTGCTTGCATGCTAATTAAAATACAATTCCCTTAATGTGGAGATGCTCTCTGTCTTCAGGCTGGGGTTCCTTCAGCAGGTTCAGGACAGCCTGATAAGTGTGGGGAAATGTTTCAGTGCTTGCTCTTATGTTTATGGTGAAGCAGGGAAAGTTTACCAGCTCCCCAGGTAATGAGCTTCCAATACAGGAAATATTTAGGGATGATATAGGATCTACTGAGGAAAATGGAAAGTATGATGAGAGATGAAATGAATTATAGACAAGTGAAGGAAATGGGGAAAGTTTTAAGAGAAATTGTTTTATATAGAATAGTTATTATAACACTTAGTCATTAAAACAGCAGTAATAAAATTATATTTATAGCTGAATAAGGAGTCTCGGTGTGATTAAGATATGGAAGCAGCTAATTGGACTGCTGAAATATTAGGATATTGAAGTGATGAAAAGTATACAAATGAAAATAAAAGTGCATAAAAATTAATGAGGAGACCGAAATAGGAAATGGAATAAAGGAAAATAACAAATGAAGCAATGTGGAATGAATAAACACCCAGCTGGAAGACAAGGAGATATGGAGGACATTGCAGCAGTGACGGGACATCCATTGCCCCAGAGGTGCTGCAGCTGTGCCCAGGGGCAGGGCTTGGGGTTTCTGGGGGTGCAAATGAGGATTTCTGCAGGATCTCACAGGTGCAGGGTGTTCCTCACCCTGTGTGTGTGTCAGGTTTCTGTGGGTGCACAAGCACGATTTCTGCACACCAGACTTTCCCTGGTGCACGGTGGGCTGTTCCTCACTGTGTGTGTCAGGTTTTTGAGGGTGCAAAGGATGATTTCTGCAGGTTTTCCCTGGTACAGGATGGGCTGTTCCTCACCCTGTGTGTGTCTGTGGGTGCACAAAGATTATTTCTGCAGGATATCCCTGGTGCAGGGTGTTCCTCACCCTGTGTGTGTCTCAGGTTTCTGTGGGTGCAAAGGAAGATTTCTGCAGGATCTCCCAGGTGCAGGGTGGGCTGCTCCTCACTCTGTGTGTGTGTCAGGTTTTTGAGAGTGCAAAGGATGATTTCTGCTCCCCAGGATCTCCCTGGTGCAGGTTGGGCTGTTCTCCTCCTGTGTGTGTCAGGTTTCTGAGGGTACAGAAGATTTCTGGTGCCCTGGATCTCCCTGGTGCAGGATGGGTTTCTGAGGGTACAGAAGATTTCTGGTGCCCTGGATCTCCCTGGTGCAGGATGTGCTGTTCTCCTCCTGTGTCCCCTGCTGGAGAGCCAGGCTGGATGGCTCTGAGGAGAATCAGCCTCTGCTTTTCTGGGACAGGAGGAAGGCCAGGGGGGTTTGCTGGGACACCTTTGAGCTGGATTTGGTGCAGGACTGGGTAGGAGGGAGAATATCCCATCAATTCTTGTGGGACAGGGCTGGGACAGGCAGCTCACTCTGGACAAGGTGGGATTGCTCCTGTCACAGGCAGCATGGAGCAGGTTTAGGAGCTGGCCTCACTCAGTGTCCTTTCCAAGCTCCCTTTCATCTCTTCTCTGAGGTTACTCAGTGCCCTTTTCTCTGGGACATCCCAGCTCCTCTCACAGGGCCCCCAGTGCCTCCCACAACCCTCACAGCAAAGGTTTTCCACCCAAATCCTGTCCAACCCTGCCCCTGCCCAGTCTGAAGCCATTCCCTGTGTGCTGCCACCCCTGCCCTGTCCCCAGTCCCTCCCCAGCTCTCCTTTGGGCTCTGAGCTCTCCCTGGGGTTTTCTCTTCCCCAGCAGCACAACCTCCCCTCTCAGCCTCTCCTCACACCAGAGGTGCTCCAGCCCCCTGAGCATCTCTTTTCCCTCTCTCAGGTAAGAAAAACTCTTCTCAACAGCTCTCTCTCTATTTAAAGCCTTATTAATCATATTATAGATTATTATAAGTTCTTCAACTTGTATTTCAATCCTTTCAAAATTCTTATAATAATTTTTAATGTATTTTCCAGGCTTGGAAGATTTGGAAAAAATACTAACAATTTGGGAAAACATATAAAACATTTATGATGAAAACGATGAGATTTGCTGCACACTTCTCTCTGCAGCTTTGCAGTGATAAATTCAATAGAATTGTTACTGCAATTATATATCAGGACACACAAAGTTTATGCTTGCACATAAATATGAGATGAACTGTCCTGCCAAGCACTTTAAGTAGCAGCTGATGTTTCATTATGTCCCTGATTTACACCAACAAGGTAAGATATTTACAGTTAACTAACTCTGTAAATAATTTTGTCCTCTGAGATACCTCGATGTGAAATATGGTCAGGAATGAACAACAAAACAAAGGGTTTGGATTCAACATATTCTTTTATTAGGAGCAAACAGCTTTACCTGTTTTTATCCACTTGAATTGAATTTTGCTTTACACAGAATTATCTGATTCTCCTCACTATGTGTACCTAGAAAGGCTACACCCCCAAGCTCCATTCTTACTGCCTGTTCTGTTAAACAGACATGGTTTCAGCAATCTCCATTCCTTGCAGGAAAACGTGGAATTTTGATTTGGATCTGGGTCTTTAGTTTTAGATGATTTTCCCCCTGAGAACTGTAGCTTTTATCATGACCAGTGTGATGCTGTCCAGAAGGAAAAGGTGTCCTACCTGCGGAAAGCCAGGCTCTCAAACTCAAATTGGGAATTTAGAGAGTACAGAGGGAGTTGCTGTGTGTTAAAGCACTGGCAACAATTCCAGAATTGATAACAAATAAATAATATAACTCTGCAAAGCCCACCATGCATTCTGGCATCCTCCTGGCTGTGCTCTGCTGTATTTCAGGTACCCCCAGTGCTGGGTGTGTCTGAAAATTGAGAATTCATGGGTGCCATAGATAAAGTCAGCAGCTGAGCACAATGAGATGACAGTGAGCTCTGGGCCAGGTGGGTGTGCAGTTCCCTTCCCTGGGGGTGCAGAACTGCCCTGGAGGGACACAGGAGCTCATTGAGGCTTTACAGCCTCCTGTAGAACCAGCTGAACACATCTGTGTGGCTGCAGAACCAGCTGAACACACATCTGTATGGCTGCAGAACCAGCTGAACACATCTGTGTGTGGCTGCAGAACCAGCTGAACACATCTGTGTGGCTGTGGAACCAGCTGAACACACATCTGTGTGGCTG